CAAAGAAAAGAAGGTTGTTCGTTGTAAGTGGTTGTTCAAAAAAAAGGAAGGTACATAAGGGGTTGAAGACTTATGGCTAAGGAATATAGTTAGATTACTGGTGTAGACTTTACATATTTTTTTTCTTCAATAGTGAAGCATAGCTTAATTAGAGCTTTGCTTAGTATAGCTGCTAAGCATGATTGGGAGTTTAAATAGTTGGATATAAAAATAGCATTTTTGTATGAAGAACTTGAGGAGAACATCTATATGCAATAGCCAGAGGGTTTCATTGTTATGGAAATGAAGACTATGTGCAAATTGAAGAAATCTCTTTATGGCCTGAAAAAGTCATAAAGACAATGGTATAAGAGGTTACCTCATTCATTACTAATGACTTTAAAAGATGCAGTTATGATAGTTGTGTGCACTTTAGAAACTGTGAAGATGTGTCCTTTACATATCTACTGCTTTATGTTGATGATATATTAGATAGCTATAACGGATGAATTAGAGATAATGAATGTTAAAGCACAACTCAACGAAGAGTTTGAATATGAAAGATTTGGGAACAATAAAGAAGATTGTTAGAATGGAGATTTTGAGGGATAGAAATGCTAGCAGATTATACTCGAGTCTAAAAAGGTACATTAAGAAAGTACTTCACACAAGTTTTAATATGATGAGTGCAAAGGTTATGGGCATTCCCTTAGTTGTCCACTTCAAGATGTCATCTACTTTGTGTCCACGGTCAGTTGAAGACATTGATTACATGTCCTGAGTTTCTTATGGAATTAATGTTAGATCATTGATGTATACAATGGTTTGTATACATCCAGATTTAGCACATGTTGTTTGTACAGTTAATAGGTACATGTTAAACCTTAGTAAGGAACATTGGTAAGCATAATAGTGGATATTTTGATACTTGTGTGGCTCCACAAACATTTGCTTGCATTTTCGAAGAAATATAGGAGTTATTGAGTATGTGGATTTAGATTATGTAGGAGATTTTGATAAAAGGAGATCATTTACAGTGTGTGTTTAATATTAAAGATTGTGCTATCAGTTGGAAGGCCACCTTATAAAATACAGTGGCATTATGTATTTCTGAGGCAAAGTACATGACTATTGCAGAGGCATGTAAGGAAACTATGTGGTTGAGGGGTTTGTTTAGTGAAATCAGTAAAGATTTATAGATTTTGGCAGTAAATTGTGATAGTCAGTGTGCTATTTTTCTGACTAAGGATCAGATGTTTCACGAGAGGACAAAACATATTAATGTTTGGTATCATTTTGCATGTGATATGATTGCTCATGGTGATATTGTAGGGAGCAAATTTCATACCAAAGAGAAAGCTACTAATATGTTGACAAAAACACTCCCAGTTGCCAAGTGTGATCGCTTTTACTTAGTTTGTCTTTGTTGTTGAATTAGCCCTTAGGGACTTATAGAAGGGTGGACAATTAATAATTGATTTAAGATTAATTATTTGATCTAGAATTTGTGTCAATGTGAAGATTTATTGAGTAGTGACCCAGGTTATATTAAAATTGGTGTTTTGATTGAAAGGAAATTGGTGTTTGTATGAAAAGGTCTTGAAAGAGTCCAAATACGGACCAATGAGAAAAAAGTCATCATATTTTTACTTGAGTGCCCTAAATGGGGTGTCTAGCTTTCACTGGACTCAAGCGCCAATACGGCCGCTTGCTATGTACAAGGTACGTCATTGAGTAGCAGTCTTCTCGGCCAGACCTCTTTCTCGATTTTCGACGTGTTTTAGGGTACCTATTCCATTTCAAACACTATTTTAATGTTGTATATATATTCATCAACTTATAGACTCTTTATATCATTAGAAACACATTAGATTTGGAAGAAAGTACATTAAATCTAAGAAAAAAATTTCATTAATCACTGAACTTTGAATGTTGCCACGTGGTCAATGTACTTCTATATTCCGTTGAATGGTCACTGAACTTATCAAATGTTCCCTCCATCCGTCATTCACCAGGATCCCGTGTGAATGGCAGCTGATTTGGCGCCACCATATCAACAAATGGTGTCATTTTGCTTGCCTCACCGGACTCTTGTCATTAGGAAAAACACTTTAATTCACCTTCAAAATCAAAACCCAACTAACACGAAGGAGGAATCCCAAATTTGGATCCCACCTAAATTCAGTAGAAAGAAGAACCCTAGATTTCGATTTGTCCAAATTGCTTCCCTTCCAATTTCGAAAATCCCCACATCAGATGATTTCCTATTCCTCCGTCACTCATTTATTTATAACCTAAACCCCTCCCAAAATGCGAAGGAGAAAATAAATCGACCCGACCTCTTACATGTATGATGAATGTAATCTCAAATTGAAGGCTATAGTAGATGAAACTGATAATCCCGATAGCATATGTAGTTGTGCATTATCAATTGATATTAATAGGCACCTTTAATATGTAGTTGTGCATTATAGACTATGGGATTGAAGTGATGAAGTTTTGGTTACTAATCTTGGCATTTGGCTTAATTTCCTCAGATATAATAACCGGCGGAGAGTGTATATATTATATTTAAGGGATGAAGTCTTGATTATTGAATAATCAAAACTTCATCCCTTAAATTGGCCAAAATTCAGACATGGAATGTAAGGTTAAAAATCTTATTGAAGTTTTGTTTGTATGTTGAATAAAGCTACTCAAAAATCATATGAGAAGGCGAGGCGAGATATGTATGAATATACCTATTCGCATGGGAAAAGCAACTATGGAGGATAATGGGAATGAAAAGGGAAAAGTTCCATGAATTTGTTCCAACTATGTGATTGTGAAAGAAGTTTGTTGTATTTGTTGAACTCCATGTTTATGTAATCGACTATGAATTTGTTGTAAATTATGCTTGTTGTAAAATAAGATTCTTATTTTGGTTAGGTTAATCACGTTTTTGTAATTTTGATATTGTTGTCATGTTCATGTAATTTTATTTTGTTGTAAATGATGTTTGTTCAATAGAAAATATCACTTCCGTTGCTTATGTTAAAATGTATACATATTGTAAAAGAGGTTCCTGTTGTGAGATTGTTATGATTTAATTGTATTGGCAATTTTGTAAGACAAAAGGACTAATATGAAAAGTGTAAAAGTCAAGGAGTTGATTGAAATATTGTATAGATGAATTAGGTAAACTAGGGTTCGAGTTTGGAACAAGGACGAAAAAGTCGCTGGATTTACACAAGCTTGTTGCCCATCTAGAACAATTAATAAGTGATTTGTTGCTGTTAATTGATAATATAATTCCGCAGTACTCACCTATTCATCCTCCTCTATGTGAGTTTAGGGTTGAACTTCATTATTTTCAGAGATGTAAACTGTGTCCTGCTGTGAGACGTAAATTGAGGAAATATACAAATTGTAAAAGGAGCACTTATTTTGGTTACGTTAAAATGTATACAAATCCATCTATTTACAATGGTAAGCAGCAATAGGAACCATGTACAGCGAGTCAACAATATTGTATTGTAAAGCTTTAGCTGAAACAATAACTTTGCCAAAACCCCACTAGATTATGGCCATCCAACAGTAGATAATATGGCATCTGAAATAAATTAGAAGCAATTTTATAGAAATAACATAACCAACACCAAACAAAATTAGATTAAAAACATGAAAAGGTTTTACTTAAAACCTCAAATTAAAATTCCAAATTAATTACAAATGCTTCTACTGTTAGAAATTTAAGTTTAAGACACACTACTTGCATCCAATGTTAGTATTCAAGGACAGTGCCCAACTTTGCCGTAGGCAAAAGAAAATCCTACGCAGTTGCCAAAGTAGACCTTGTTTTCCACTCAGGATTCGCTGTAAACTATTCAATATATTGATGTGTCAAAAACATATAGTTGTAATGTCTGCTACGTTGGCTCTGTGAGCATTAATTGTGCTTGTCCATGTAAGACTTCAATGGCACTGTCCTCTTCTCATTCAATTTCGAAGCCCATACCGTCCGATTATACCCCAATTTGCAAAATCCTTGAGCTTTTTTTTCTATCATTACTTCTTGGCTTCACGTTGTATCTATTCAGAGCACCATATGTTCTCACTGCATTTAGAAATACTTGCATTGATCAAAAGTGTTGTCCAACCTCCAACTATGGATTCCTCATATCTGTCTTAGCTAAAAACTCTGGAAAACGATACCGAACATTTTCTTTCGATAACCAATCCAACACTAGAAGCCATATCAACATCAAATTGACAGAAAATCTGGGTCTTCCTTATAATCTGTAAAGAACATTAAAACAATGGAAAAGCCAAAGCAGAATTTATGAAATAAGCAAGAGAATTTTCTAATGCAGCATCTTGAAACCCTTAACAATAAACAGCTAAAGGTTCAGACATTAATTATATTGCATATAGGTTCAGACATTAATTATATTGCATATATTGCATATAGTACATAATAAATCAAACTCCTAATGCTGCATCTTGAAAACTTTTTTTTTTATCGGTAAATGTAAAAATTCATTGATCATAATTCTTGTACAAGTACTCTGGGCATTCCCGGGCTTACATTATTCAACAATGCACATCTTGAATATCAAAGTAGATGCTCAGTGCTAAAGATTCATAAGGATGTAAAACATAAGGATACAAAGAAAACATGACTTTGTAGACATGTGCTTTAATGCGTTTGATGATGCTATCGGGATGCTGCCTGAGATCTTCAAAAAGTAACCTGTTTCTAGCTGTTCAAATATGATAAACAGTGCTTGTAAGTGCTACTTTCTTGGCTTTAGATTGCCAAGAAGTCCCCTGTCCCTCCTTCTTGATCCATTTTAGAGCACTTGATAATGTAGTCATGGCTCTATTGATCCCGAGCCATGCTCTAACTTGGCTCCAAATTTCTGTGCTCAAGCGGCATTGGAAGAAAAGATACTGGACGGATTCTATTGCAGCTTGACAAAATACGCATTTGCTATCAATTTCCATGTGCTTTATTCGGTCTTTGGTAAGAAGCTTGGTTTTCACGCTAAGCCAAAGAATGAAGGAATGTTTAGGAGTGATGCATGAACTCCAAACAGTCTTTGCCCAGATAGTTGGCGTCCCCTTCGGTCGAAAGTAATCATAAGCTTTAGAAATCCATATATTATCTCCTTGGATCCAGAGATTCGTTGGTAGGCAGCATGATTTGATCCTTCAACTTCCTTCATGCGTTGAGCAATAGACATCATCTTTTTTAATAGGAGTGAGTCATCCTTTTTGGGTGACCTTTCCCATATTGATGTCCCTCTCAGATACACGTGATTGATCCATTGCACCCAAAGTGTGTCCTTCTTGGCATGCACATTCCACAACGACTTGGCTAATAGTGCATTGTTCCAGCATTTTATATCTCGAAATCCAAGTCCGCCCTCACTTTTGGGAAGGCAAACTTCGGACCATGCAACCAGCAGTTTTTTGGAATTCCAAAGGAAGTTCCTACAAAGCCTTGTGATCCTCATAGAAACTGCAGTGGGCATCGGGAATATAGATAGCCAGAAGCATTCAACGCCTTGTGAGACTGATCTTATCGTCCAAGCATGTATATATGTAGCTATCTTATCGAAAAAGGGGCGTAGTGGATGACTTTCAATTTTCCTGCAACTAATGGAACCCCCAAATATCTGAATGGCATGGATCCCCTTGGCATGTTTACCAATTCTAGGATGTCATCCAAGTCTTGGCCTTAAATTCCGGCTGCAAATATGTTGGATTTGCTTGCATTCATCCTCAGCCCTGAGCAATCTCCAAACTTGGACAAACAATTAATCAGTATACGCACCGATGTACTGTCACCTCTAGCAAACAACATCAAGTCATCGGCAAATGCAAGATGTGTGATTTTCAATGGCCCACACTTCGGATGGTAATTAAAATCGAGGTTGTTGGTGGCTACCTTCAAAGCTCTCGAGAGATATTCAAGACATATCACAAATAATAAAGGTGATAAAGGATCCCCTTGCCGTAAGCCTCGTTTTCCTTTGAAAAATCCATGTATGCTGCCATTTATTGCTAATGAGAATGAAGGAGTTGATATGCACACCATCACCCATTGTATAAATCGGTTCGGGAACCCAAGTCCCTCTAAAACAGATTTTAGAAATTCCCAATGTATGGAGTCATATGCCTTTCGGAGATCGATCTTAGAAAAGCATCTTGGGATACTCTCTTTCGATTGTATTGCTTCAATAGTTCCTGTGCAAGATGGACATTCTCAACCATGCTCCTCCCCTTTACAAAAGCTGCCTGCGCATTATCAATAATGGATCTGTTGGACAAGATTTTCGTGATTGTCTTGTAGACCACATTGCAGCATGAAATAGGCCTGAAATCCCCAACAGTGGATGCATGGCTGGTTTTCGGAATTAGGGCAATGACGGTATGATTAATCTGCTTGAGGAGTGAACCAGTCTCAAAAAACTCTGTGATAGCACCAACAAAGTCACCCTCGATCATCCCCCAAGCTTTCTTGAAGAAGCACGAGGTGTATCCATCAGGGCCTGGGGATTTATCGTCTCCAATGTTAAACAAAACATCCTTAATCTCTTGTGGAGAGATATATCTAACAATGGAATCTGCCTGTTCCCTAGAGATTAATGGCCCTTCGCCTAAAATGGTTTCGTCAATGGCATCACGTGCATGGTTTGTCCCAAGCAAGTTTTGATAGTATGCAAGAAATTCAGCCTCCACCTCTGCTAAGGAGCTTGTGGGCATCCCATCTTGTTTCATTACAGCAGCAATGAAGTTTTGCTTCGCATTCCTTTTAACTAAAGAGTGGAAAAATTTCGTGCATTTATCACTCTTGCTCAGATAAACAGATTTTGCTTGTTGATAGTAGAAGCTTCTCTATGCGTCACATATACCCACAGCTTGTTTTCGTAAGAGTGCAACCTTACTTTGCAACTCAATATTCGTCGGTAGATCATGTAACTCCATTTGTGCTGCCTTTAGATCATTTTTAGCTTTTTCAGCTCGAGCAGAAATGTGAGCATAGTGCTTGTTATTTAGCTGCTTAAGATCTTCTGTAACCTTTTGCAAAGTATAAATTGCTTCGTTCCATAAATTTGCTGATTCCAGTTGGAAGAAACCACATTTTGGAAATCTGAATGCTCCGTCCACATATTAAAGAATTTGAAGTGTTTGCCTCTGCCTCCATCTTGTTGGAAAAGCGATACAATACATGGCGAGTGGTCTGAAAGGCAACCTGATGGTTGGAAATTTGCCAAGGCATGTATACCCGCTTGTTGCCACCGTTCATCTACCACAGCTCTATCGAGCTTACTCCAAACTGAAAGGATATTGCCTTCAGAGTTTTTCGACCAAGTGTAGTAGCATCCAATGGATCGCAAGTCTGTAAGACGTGCAGTTAAACAACAATCTGCAAAATCTCTAGTTTCATATGGAGTCACTTCTGCTCCATTACATTTCTCATCAGGTGAAAGTATACAGTTAAAATCACCCATGACCATCCAAGGTATTGAACATGTTGCTCCAAAATCAATCAAGTTACTCCATAATGGTCTCCGAGTAACAATAGAATGGAAACCATATACAAAACTCAAACGAAAAGCAAAAGAAGTTACCTTGCAGGTGACTTCGCAATGTATAACCTGTGGGGCAGCTTCCAAGACACACAGGTTGACTTTTGTTTGGTCCCATAGGATCAAAATTCTCCCTGCCGGATGTGAAGGAAAATTTTCAGTATGACTCCATCCACAAAATTTATTCCTCAGAATCCGAGCTAACTTTTGTTGATTGAGCTTCGTTTTCAGAACACCAATAATATCAATGCATTCATGCTTAATGAGGTGATGAACCCCATTTTGTTTTAGAGGCTTATTAAAGCCCCTAATGTTCCACGATGCTATCTTCATGATGATATAAAGAGGGCATTCTCCCTCTTTTTATCCTTCTTCAGTTTGTCTAGGAGGTTGCGCTCCAAGGCTGCCTTTCAACTTATCATTACTCATTGATTTGATTTTTGGGACTTCAATATCTGCACTCGAACCTTTGGTTGCAATTATTGGTTTGTTTTTCTTACCCGCTTCAATAAATGGGATATCATCCTCAGTAGAATTAGCTGGATTACTTGGTTCTGGGCGTGTATTGTCTGCTCATCCTAAATCACAAGTATTTTGTCCAACTGGTTCTGCCCCTGATTTGGTTGTTTCCTGTAAACTGTTCTGATCCATTGTTGCCTTATTTGAGTTATCAGCAATATTCTGACTGTCTAAAGCTGGTTGCCTCGAGGCCCCAATAATGTTCTGTGCCTTTGTCGTGTTCTCCACAATGTTCTGACCATCTAATATTGATTGACGCGAGCCCCCAACAATGTTTTGGTCGCGTGTTGTTTCCTGTGCCCCTGCTTTCTTGGCCACATACTTAGGGGGAAACGTCTGCCTCTGACTTGCAGTACCAATGTTTCCTTTGCATGCTTCTATTTTATGCCCAAATGTCTTGCAAATGGAGCAGAATTTTGGCTCATGTTCGTAGTAAACTGGTTGTTCCCTCATTTTACCGTTTGGCAGTTTCATCTTTACAGATCGAACCAAGTCCTTTGATGCATCCACTTCAACGAGAATTCTTGCAAAAGACAACCTGCCCTTAGTGGTTGTGAGCAGGTCAGTTGTTACCGGTTTTCCAATCTTTGTTGCAATCATGCAAAGCGCATTGGGCGTCCAAAAATTCAGTGGCAGCGCCGGTAATGTTACCCAAATCGGCATTATGCTGATATCATTGTCATCAAATTCAAAAAATGGTGGGACAAGTTTTAACATCAGTGGACGTCCATATACAAAATACGGGCCTCCTTCCAGCACTTGTATTCTATCTTCATCATTTTCAAATTTGAACACGAGCCATCCACTTTGATGAGCAAAGTATTGGTACTTCACGCCCCATTGATCGCACATCTGCAAGAGGGCTATTTTTCCTGGAAATCGTCCAGCAAAATATCCCACCAGGCAGTAACCCCAAGCTGTTTGATCATCTTCAATATCAATTTCCTCAAAAACCAGTATTTCAGGTAGATTTTCACATGTCTTGAGCTTGAAACCGTTCTCACGTTTGCGATTTTCCTTGAATAAATTTGCCCATGGAGCCTTAGTATCGGATCCTTTTGCTTGGGCAGAAGTATTGGCTAGTTGGACTGCATTGGATTCTTCCTCTGATTCAGTATCCTCATCACCAAGTGTCTGAGATAAATTTGGGGAATTCAAGTTTGCATGGTCGAATTCTTGCCAGAATGCCTTAGCAGAATCTGTGGGCTTGCATGAGGAAATGCCACCCTCTTTTCCTTGCACTAGAATTTCGTTCGATCTAGTCGCAGTTGGTAAATTTCCAGAAATTGCTGAAATTTCGCCTTGACTACCAACCTAATTCGGTAAATTGCTAACCGCAATTGGTAACCTGTTGCTGTTGATCTTCTTTCCCATATGGAACGACAGATAAAATTAGCCAATAATCACGTTACTTCCCAAAATAATTTCCGGCTCCACCCCAGTTCCGGCCAAATTGGTGGCCAAAATCTGTAGAAAACAGCAAGAAATCAATGTATATTCAGTATTGGGCCGAATCTTGACACCAAAATCTGGAAGGAAATTCAATTTTTCACACCCAAAAACCTCCACAGAAATGCAAACTGAACATATCTCTTTTGCAAGGATCGAACCGTTCCAGAAATGAGAAACGTTTCTGTGATTGAAATTTGCAAATTCCAATTCAGAAATGAGACAATTGAGGCTCCTTATGACCAGAATCTGTAAAGTGTAAACTCCTAACGAGCCTTCACAACTTTGAAATGAAACCCAAAGAATCCGAATGAAACTTAAACAAAATGGATTTAAATAATAAATCCAAGCAGCAGAATTGATTTTCACACCGAAGATTATGTAAAAATCAATGGAAGAATTTGAAAATTTCTGAAGAAAAGTGTACACCAAGTGGGATTTTCTCTCACTTGGTTGAGAGCATTGCATCTTGAAAACTTTAATAATACACAACTAAAACTAATAGTTCAGAGACAAGGTAACTCAAGTTGAATATATAAATTTCGAACATAAAGTGTGTTTGCTAGTTTCTAATACATGTAAACATAATAATACCAATGGAGATCATAAATAAATAATCTTGTCACATTTATAGATTTGTATCATACTTGTAGCAGCATTTACAGAGGTATATAAATTTTGTTGAAATATTGTTCAACATTCAAGAAAGAATGAAATGGAATGAATAAATATGAAGGAAAAACAAAACAGCATTAGAGGCAAAACTTTGTTCTATGCTGTTGCATAGATTAATACTATGTAGTCGCATGGCCAATTGCAGGGAATTCTGGGGCCTCTTTGGGTTGTTCTATGCAGACCCATAGTTATACAAAATTGACCGTTGGAGGTTGGTTTCCTACTGTTGCAACTCCGAATTGTGGTGGCTTTTCAACCTATTTTGGCACCAATTCGTGCACATTGGTGGTGGCCTATACATAGGCAATGCATTTCAAGCCAAAAAATAAGTGAGAAACATTTGTGATCCATATTCATTCCAATATCAAAGATCAAATTCTTGATTCACATTCATGCTTTTTTCTTCATTGTGTTCTTAAAGTTTTGAAGGGTTTCACTTGTGCTTTAGTGCTAGATCATTTAAAAGGCTTGATATAATCCTACGAACCATTTGTCAAAATCCTTAAGCATCTCAATCAATCTCGAGAGGAGGCAAATATAGTATAAGGACAGCAATTGCGCGTTCTAGCCTTCGATCTTGTTCTTATCAAGTTTCTGGTGTTAATTATTTTTGTTGCTTCATTATTGTGATATTGTTCTTGTCTCTCCATTTCTCCTCCATATTTTTCCAACAATCTCAAACTATACTTATTGTGTAATGGAGAACGAGATAACCATGGCGACCATCAAATTTATGAACCAAGATTTAGTTCGATTGGATCAGTTTGATGGGGAAAACTTCACATGGTGGCAAGAAAAGTTGAAATTCCTATTAACGGCATTGAACATCTTCTACATTGTTGATCCAGATTTGGCACCTTTGTCGGAACCAACAAAGGGAGAAACCGAAGCAATCAAGGCTGAGAGACAAAAACCCCAAGAAGAAGAGTTGATTTGTTGTGGTCATATTTTGAATGCTTTGTAGGATCACTTGTATCATCTATATAACAACACTTCTTCGCAAAAGAAGTCTGGAACGCATTGGAAAGTAAATACAAACAGAAGAGGAAGGTACAAAGACGTTTTTTGTTTCTAAATACTTTGATTTTAAATTCTTAGGAAATATTCCCCTTCTTCCCTAAGTACATGAGTTGCAAGTGATTGTCAACAAATTAAAGGCGGTGAAGATTGAAATTTCGAAGACTTTTCAAGTGGGGGATATAATTGCTAAACTCCCGGGGACTTGGAAAAGATACCGAAAGAAAATAATGCATAGTTTTGAAGATTATTCTTTGGAATAGTTGCAAAAAATCTTCGAATTAAGGAAGAATCCCAATTACGTGACACGAGTGAAAACTCTTTGGAAGGAACTTCCAAGGCAAATACTATTGAAAAATCCGACCTGCCTACAAAATCCAATAAGATGAAGCCTTCAAGGAACTTTAATAAGTCCAATAAGAAGACTAAAGGAGGATGTTTTGTTTTGTGAAAAATTTGGTCACTAGCTAAGGATGTAGATATCGAAAACAAAACAAAAAACTCCGAGGGTAAAGTGAATTTCGTCCAAGAGGACAAAATTGTGGCCACCATAAGTGAAATAAATGCTATCAAAGGAAAAGTATCCGAGTGGTGGTATGATACTTGTGCAACCATACATTTATCATATGATAAATCTTTGTTCAAAACACATCATGAGATAGATGGAATCCAAGAGATTCAAATGGGTAACAAAGTGCGGTCCAAAGTAATTGGTAAGGGAAATGTTGATATTATCTTCACGTCCGGAAAAATCGTTACTCTAACAAATTATTGCAATCTTCGGATATGAATCAGAGTTTGGTTAGTGGAAATCTCTTAAGCAAATCGGGCATTGAAAGTACATTCGAGTTCGGAAAACTTGCATTATCCCTTAACGGGAAATTTGTTGGAAATAGCTATTCTTGTGAAGAAATGGTCAAATTATGTACCGTTGACAATGAATTGAATAAAACTAATTTTGCTTATATTGTGGATTTATTTCATTATGGCATGCTAGTTATGTTGGAATAAATACCATGAAACGCATGAAAAATTGTGACTTGATCTCATATGATGGAAATAATGAAAGTAAATGCAGGATATGTGTAGAATCTAAAACGATCAAAAAGCCGTTTCATAGTGTGAAAAGGACTTCTAACATATTAGAACTTATTTATACCGATATATGTGAAATGAATGGCATGTGAACTAGGGGTGGAAATAGGTATTTTATTACCTTTATTGATGACTTTTCTAGATATACGAATGTTTACTTGATAAAGCATAAAATTGAAGCTTTCGATAAGTTTAAAGTATACAAAAATGAGGTTGAAATTATCTAGGAAATAAAATTAAAACCTTAAGAAGTGATACGTGGTGAATATTTTTCCAACAATTTTAACTTGTTTTGTGAACAACATGGAATTATTCACCAATATTCCGTACCTAGGACACCCGAACAAAATAGTTTAGCTGAAAGAAAAAATAGAACCTTAGATGAAATGGTTAATGCCATGCTCATTCATGCTAAGTTTCCATTTAACTTGTGGGGTGAAACTTTATTAAGTTCATGTAAGATACATAATAAGATTCCTTCAAAATATACTAAAGTTTCTCCTTATGAATTGGGAAAATGAAGAAAACCAAACATTGGATACTTCAAAGTGTGGGGTGTCTTGCTTATTGCAAGAACA